AGGCCTTGTCGATGATAATGGTGTTCTACAGGAGGACGGGGAGGTAATGGGCAATATTATCCAAGGATATTTTTAGAACCTTTTTTCATCAGAAGTAGGGGATCCAGACCCATCTGTGATAGCGGAGGTTCAGCGCATAATTACTCCAGAAATGAATAAGGGGCTGTTAGACACTTTTACTCGTGACGAAGTTAGAAGAGCTCTCTTCCAAATTGGCAATCTCAAGGTGCCAGGCCCGGATGGGATGCATGCGGTGTTTTATAAAAGGTTCTGGGAGATTCTAGGTGATGATCTAGTCAGAGAAGTGCTTCAGGCAATTAACACGGCAACAATTCCAGAGGGGTGGAATGATACAACAATTGTGTTAATACCCAAGGAAAATCTGCCTACTTTGGTGTCTCAACTTTGCCCTATAAGTCTTTGTAACATGGTCTACAAAGTTATTTCAAAAGTGCTAGCTAATCGGCTGAGGACCATTCTCCCCGGATATAATAAGTGATCATCAAAGTGCTTTTGTTCTCGGACGAATGATCACTGATAATATTCTCATCACATATGAGAGTATCCATGCTTTAAGAAGAAAAAAGGAAAAAGAGGGCTGTGTGCAGTAAAGCTCGATATGCATAAATTAAGCATATGATAGAGGAGAGTGGGGTTTCTTGGAGAAGATAATGTTGAAGCTGGGTTTTGATGGATGCTGGGTAAAGCCGATTATGGAATGCGTCACTTCAGTGAGATATAATGTGAGATTTAACTCAAGGGAAACCGAGATTTTCTTGCCTACAAGGGGTCTTCGCCAAGGGGACCCGCTGTCCCCTTATTTCTTCTTGATGATAGCTGAAGGACTCTCTTGTTTACTGAAGGGGGCAGAAAATAGAGGAGAATTGGAAGGCATTCGGATGTGCAGGGATGCACCAATGGTGTCTCATTTGTTATTCGCTGATGATTCTCTTATATTGATGAATGCAGATAAGAAGAATGCTAAGAACCTGAAATTGTTATTGGATCGGTACTGTGCAAGTTCCGGTTAGAAAGTAAGTGATGCTAAATCTAGTATTTTTTCAGTGAAAATACTAATGTGGAGGATAGAGCTGAAGATTGTGCAGCTCTAAACATTGTCACGGAATCGTTGAATGATAAGTATTTGGGCCTTACAGCTATGATCGGTATAGATCGCAGTGATTGCTTCAGACACTTGATTGATTGAGTAAGAGGGAAAACAAAGGGTTGGAAGGAGAAGCTACTTAGTATGGGTGGGAAGGAGGTTCTTATTAAATCAGTCACCCAAGCCATATGCGATGATGGTATTCAAAATCCTGAAAAACATTTGCAAAGGGGATCACTGACGTCATTTTGCAATTCTAGTGGGGTGACGATGACGATCACAAAAGGATTCATTGGAAGGCTTGGTGGAAGCTCTGTATACCAAAGAAGAGAGGCGGGATGGGATTCGGAGATTTAGAAAGCTTCAATGTTGCAATGCTTGCTAAACAAGTCTGGAGGCTATTGCTGGAACCTGAATCTTTATGTGCAAAGGTGTTGAGAGCAAGGTATTATCCTGATGGAAATCTGCTGGCTGCAAAGCTAAAGAGTGGAAGCTCCTATTCTTGGCAGCGTGTTGGCAGGCTTGGAATGTTTCAAAAGGGGTTATATTTGGAGAGATGGAGATGGATCTCAGATAAAAATCTGGGACGATAATTGGATTCCATCAAGTCATAACCTCAAAATTTTAACACCACGCGGGCTTAATTTGGTGACGAGGGTGTATGAGTTAATTAATCCAGTGACTGGTTCATGAGATGAAGATTTGATTAATGAGCTTTTCTGGCCTGTGGATGCTCACCGTATTCTACAGATCCCTCTCACTCATGGCAGGGAGGATCTAGTGGCGTGGCATTACAATCGGAATGGCGTCTTTTCAGTCCGATCTACTTACCATGGCCAATGGTTACATAAATTTGGTGAGAATAGAGTTAATGAGCAAGCAGGTGCAGTTGGTGAAGTGGACGTTTTGTCCAAATTGTGGAATCTGAATGTTCCAGCAAAGATAAAAAATTTCGGTTGGCGGGTGTTGCATGGCTGCTGCCATATAGGGGCATACTTGCAAACTGGCATATCAAAAATTCAGGGAGCTGCCCAGGCGAGGACATCAAACACTTGCTGTTTTTATGCAAACGAGCACAGGATATATATGGCAGAAGATTGGTGCTTGGCAGGAAATTCAGAAATACATAGCAGTGGATCGATCGGGATCAGTAGTGGTGATGGAGATAATTAATAGATCGAGAACACTGGGCCATTTGAACAACATGGGATTGGCCGAATTAATCTTAACAGGCAGCTAGTATATATGGTGGGAACGAAGAAAATTCATTCATGGTGAGGCAATCCAACCACAGATGTGAAGTGCTTTATCTATCGTGACCTTGACAACAAACTATCAACGAGCTCTGATGAAGAATGCCAAACGTGCTGATGGATGGAAGACGCCGCCCAAGGGAACTTTGCTTCTGAATATAGATGCCAGCTACGAACCAGAGAGGGCAGATGGAGGAACCGGAGGGATTGTCAGGGACTTGGTTGGTATGTTTATAGCTGCATCATATTGTTATCTTGATCATGTTGTGGATGCCCCAACAGCGGAGGTGTATGCTCTAAGAGAAGGGCTCATGTTAGCCCAACATATTGGTTGCATCATTCTGTCCGACTGTTTGGAGGTGGTGGAGACAATGAAGCAGGGAGGTTTTTCAGCAACAGCTGGTGCGCCAATATATGATGAATGTATGGTACTCTGGCAAGATTTAAATTCTATCACTATAGATCATTGTAATAGGGATATCAATAGAGTAGCGCACAATTTAGCGAGTTTAGCTATTCAGTCAAAGAATTCATGTATTTGGGTCGATGAACCCCCTAGCTTCATTATTGAAGCCCTGGTGAATGATGTAACTCTGTTTTCAAATCAATAAAGTGCGTCAGATGGCTTCCCTCAAAAAAAAAGTGCCCAACCAAGTGTTTGCAAGTGAGAGATACCGAGCCCACCATAGAGGATAGCAGACTTTTGTCCATGCCACCAAGCAAATGACCACTCTTTGCATCCTTACGCCCTTTCCAAAGAAAGCCTCTTCTAATCTTATCAATGGCCTTAATAGTCCATGGTGGGAGGTCTAAATAAAGCCATTGCAAGATGTATCAAAGTGGAGGTGAGCGCAAACTGAACCAAAATACGTCTCCCAGCCCTTGTCAAAAAATTTGCCTTCCAACCCGGTACAAGGTCAGCAATTCTATCAATTAAGGGTTGTAATTGTGCTCTCCTTAATTTCCTCAAGCATAAGGGAATACCAAGGTACCTACAAGGGAAATTGAGCACCTCACATGGTAGCTTTTCTTGCACGACCAGAATATCTGATTCTAAGCACTGGATGGGGAACACATTGCTTTTCTACACACTGGTCTTGAGGCCCGATGCTTCACCAAATAAATGAAGAATGTCCATTGTTATCTTAATATCACTGGCCGTTGGCTGGAGGAAAACAACAACATCATCCGCATAAAGAGAAATCCTAGTGAGGTTTTCGTTATTAACCTTAGGGAATTGAGAAGATCATTACTCCATTAGTAGAGATAACAGTATATAGAGAGCTTCGTGGGCCATATGTGCCTATAGTGGGCTTCATATACTTAACAGTACCCTCCAAACTCTAGGTGGAAGTGGAGGATCTGGCACAGGGCAACAATGAGTAAAAATGTGTGATGCATGCCAAAAGATTTACATGGTTGGGTAGAGAATGGATCCTAGGTTGTGATCCCATATTACTAACCTTAAGGATTTGATAAGATCATTACTACATTAGTAGATTTGACCAGTGGCGCGCCAAGGCCCGGCCACCCTGGGCCGCTGCCCAGGCTCCCTTGGCGCTAACACCTTAGGCCCAAGTGCTAATCAAGGCCCAAGTCCCTTGTGTACAGAGAAGAGGCTGGGAAGAGTGAAAGCCCAAAGAGAGTGGTGCCCGGGCTCCCAAAAAACCTGGATCTGCCAATAGATATGACTATATTCAGATAGCCTCATGGGTCATATGGGCCTATAGTAGATGGAACTTCATAGGCTTTCATGCACTTAACAATGCCCAACCTCACTGATAGATGCTACCTTTCTGTTTACTTATCCTTTTCTCAAACCGTTCCTCCATCCCTTTCTAGCAAGTATTTTTCAATTTCCTTTGATGGATAGGAATTCCTAAATACCACAAAGGAAATTTGCTAGATGAGCAGAAAAAAGTGTATTGATCTTTAAAAGACTGAGCCTCGTGAAAGTAGGATACTTGAATTTTTTGGAAAATGATTTAAACTCAATAGCTACTTGAATGCACACAATAAAATGATTTAAACTCAATAGCTACTATTTTTGGCAAGGAAATATATTTAAATAATATCACCAAATATCTGCCTTCTTTCTACATTCTTTTTGTTGGAAGTACGCTTCTATGCAGTCCCATAGTCACAACATGCTGAGTGCAGACATGGAAATATTTTTCTGCTTCGAGTCTTGGCCATTGATGCATCCTGGCCGAATGCATAAATGTACTATAGTTGAAAGATTACAGGTGGTGATTAGAAGTTAGTAACACTCCTATGTCACTACCTTCGTTTATCTGTCTTTTATGTCACTACGGATAACTCTAACAGGTGGATCATCCTTTGTTTATCTGTCTTTTAGACGGAAATTCAGATTTCAACAAGGGCAGCAATAGACAAATCTGCATGCTGAAGTTCTTTATTCAGTATAATTTGAAGTTTTAAACTGAACTAAAATTATATACTGAGAGGTTTAGTTGCTTGGATGCTCCTTGTATCCATCAAGGCTCAACTACTCTAGGATCTTGTTGATGACCTACTAATATATAAAGCTTGTGGCATTGTAAACATTAAAGCTGCTAAGAATTTTTCTTCTTGTGTCATTTAAGGGGTGCTCCATTAAAATGACTAGAATAAAGCCAAAAATGTGCTGCGAAAGGCATGTGCATCAGGTCCTTCTGATTCTTGTTGAACTTTCAGCTATGCTTGAAATTAAGCAGCATCTTCAATTTACAGGAAATAGGACTCTTCCATTATCGAAAAAAACAGGAAACAGGATGGACAGAGTTTTAGCTACTATACTGCCTATAGTCGTTATGTTGCTGGCTATTGTAATAGTTTGCTATTTTCTCTGGAGGATGAAGAGGAAACCTGCAGGAACGCTATCACTGATTGGTAAGTGATTCCATCGTTTACCATTAGAACAAAGCTGAAATGGTGTCATTTTTCAGTATTGTACATAAGAAAACTACAGTAACATGTGGCCTTGTTCTGTGTGATAGATTCAACAAATCCAGAAGACATACGAAGTATCAATTCGCTCATTATTGATCTACCAACTCTACGAGCCACAACAGAAAACTTTGATGAAGGAAAAAAACTTGGCGAAGGAGGATTCGGTGCAGTTTACAAGGTGCTAAACTGCTCATTGTAGTTATTATATGTGATTTTTTCTGCACAATTGTTATTTAGAAATTTGTAAATATGGTTCTATTCCAGACGCTGCAGTGGGATGTAGGTCATGCCATGCACATGTAAAAGAGTTATAGTGGCCAATAGCTAAAGTAGTAAGAAATATAGGAAACTATCCTAACTGACCCTTCCCTGTTTCCAAAAAACACAAATATCAATTAACACTTCATAGTTTTGGTGATTCAATATCTTCATTTGTATAGGGGATCCTCCCTAATGGTCGAGAAATAGCAGTGAAAAGGCTTTCCCAGAGTTCTCGGCAAGGAATAAAGGAATTGGAAACTGAGCTTGTCTTGGTTGCCAAGCTTCAACACAAGAGTTTGATCAGGCTCGTTGGCGTTTGCTTGGAAGAACATGAGAAATTACTTGTGTATGAATACATGCCGAACAAAAGCCTTGACACCTTTCTTTTTGGTACTGTAATTCATCATCATTTAGCAACACTGAAACAAGTAAAATTTATTGTGCGCATCTTTGAGATTTCTCTTTTTTCCGGCTGGCATACAGATCCTGATAAAAGCAATAAGCTAGATTGGTGGAAGAGATTCATGATAATCAATGGGATCGCTCAAGGCTTGCAATATCTTCATGAAGAGTCTCGACTAAAGATAGTTCATCGGGACCTAAAAGCGAGCAACGTTCTGTTGGATTCTGACTTCAATCCGAAGATATCAGATTTCGGCTTAGCAAGGCTATTTGGAAGTGACCAATCACAATCTGTTACCAACCGTGTGGCTGGAACCTAGTAAGTGCTGGTGACCCTACCATCTCGTAATTAAGATACACATACTGAGTCCATAAATATAATGTTAGTTCTTGCATTGTTGCAGCGGTTACATGGCCCCTGAGTATGCTATGCGTGGGCATTACTCTATCAAATCAGATGTGTTTAGCTTCGGTGTTTCGATGCTAGAGATTGTTGCGGGAAGAAGGAACAGTGGATCTTATGAATCCGAGCAATACTATCATCTCCTTAGTTCGGTAAGTGCATAGGCGACATGAACAAACTCAATATTGCAGTTCCTCGCAAGTGGCAGAGATGATTTTGGTGCAAGATTCTCTGCTTTATAATGCAGGTTTGGGAACACTGGACGATGGGAACAACTGTGGAGATCATGGATCCATCCTTGTGCAGCCATAATCCTAGTGTAGACCAGATGCTGAGGTGCATCCATATCGGGCTTCTATGTGTTCAACACAACCCCGTGGATAGGCCCCTGATGTCAACTGTGAATGTCATGCTTAGGAGCAGCACTATGCCAAGCCAAGCTCCATCCAGGCCTGCATTTTGCTTCCTAAAGAGTGGCGTCAACTCTGAAGTGTACCATGGACGAGGAATTGCTCAGTCCACAAGCAGACCGGCTGTGTCAGAGAACGAAGTTACTATTACTGAAATTGAGGCAAGATAAGTCCATATGGGATTCGTGCAGTGGCGGATCTAGAATTTTATCGAAGAGTATGCCACATAAAAAAAAATTATGTACATTTCTGTAAAACCATTTACAATTCGGTAAACAGTTGCAATTTTTGCAATATAATTGCGTATACAGCGCTACATGATTTGTCTTCAATTCAAAAATTAAGTTGGAAGGTTCCATGAATTACAATAATAAAATAGTTCAAATACCATATTGATATAGTTCAAAATATAGGTATATAAAGAGACCAAAAGATTTACAATCTAGTTCTTTGACTTTTTTAGGCGATGAATTTTAAGTGATATAAATGTCTTTATATTATCTTCATCCACTTCGAAAACAATATCCCATTCACTGAATAATTAAACTACAGATAAGTAATTAAGTATGTAAGTTTTTTAAAAAAAATAAATCACAAATAATTAAATCTGGCAAACCTGGGCAAGGTCTTGACTCTTGAAAACTTGAAGTCTGCGTACTTCACAAGTGCAGCGACGGTCGTTGTCCAGGTCGCTGCTTCCTGCTGGCTTCTCATTCATGAATCAGGACTAAAACGCCCAAAGCAGCAGTTGGCCGGGAGACCAGCACGCCGGCAGTTGCAGTTGGCCGGGTCGCCGCCGTGTGTCTTTTTCAGGACCTGAACAACGGCCACTGCCCGGCTTCTCTTTCAGGATCAGTCACGACACTTCGGAATTGCTGAAATAGGATTGCAAGGCATGGAGACGAAGGCACTAGGCGGCAGGCGCGAGTGCGGGACTTCGATGGGATCGGCGGACCACGAGTTCGTGAGGCAGACGATATGAGACGAAGCTGTACGGCGGCGGCGGCGCTTGCGATCGTCACCCTGATTGCCGGGGCTTATTTGACTTATAAGCCGTATTTTTTTAGTCAACGAACAGTATTTTTCTCTCACATCAAACCAGCCAACAGTACTTTCAGTCATGCCTTATCAGCCAAATAAGTCAAGCGAACAGGGCGCGTGACTTCGTAAGGGAAGGAGCGGAGACAACGAAGCGCCGTATTACTACTATGGGCCTAGCATACCCTGTAGTTCCACCCTAGATTCGTGCAAGTCAAACTAGCTTAACTTTGACTGAGTTTACAGTGAATAGTATTAACATTTATTTCTCTAACTATGTTTACAATAAAAATATATTTCATAATTAATTTAATGTTACTTATCTTGTATCATAAATATCAGTATATTTTTTTATAACTTTAGTCAAAATTTAAATCATTTGACTTCTCGAAAAGTGAAAATTACATTTTTTTTTTATGAATGGCGGGAGTACTGGTGAACTTGTCTACTACTTCGGTTGGAAAAGGAGTTGAAACTAGGAAAGACCCTAGATATATAACTATACAAAGACAACATTAATTACAACTTGTAAGAGCAACTCCAACCACTTGACTATTCTTGTTGTGGAGACTTGGTCTGTTCGCTAGTTGGTTTCTGGGCTGGTTTGGGCTAGCTGGTGCTGGTTTATTGTGAGAGGAAAACACTGTTGGCCGGCTGATTTGGACTGGCTGAAACCAACAAGCGAACAGGGTGAGAATTTGTATAGCAAAAAGTAAACTCCAACATATGTGATATCTCACTTTGTAAAATAGAGAGTTGGCTATCCCTTGATTTTCGGTGGCATTAGAAAGTCAATTATGGACGCTCACTATCTGACTTTGTAAAATAGCAAGGCTGTTGTGGACCTCTTTTTTTAGAAGCATTCTATTTTACAAAATGGCTAAATAATGGAATTTGGCTACGAATTTTAGCCAAGCTTTTAGAGTTGCTATAAGCAGGTATTATTGCCAAGAGCTATTTTACGGTGTAAGATCATTGCTTCAGCTACTTTCGGCTGCCGCGGCAGCTTCAAAACTGCAGACTCCTGTAGCACAGCCAGCTGTATTTTTTTATTTACCGAGGGGAAAATGGAAGATCCTTTTCTCAAGATAAGAGGGAAAGTATGTGGAGAATGGTTAGCACCGCCCCCAGTTGTTACCGTAAATCTGAAAACTTTCCTACACAAAACTTGCTCCACCCAGTTCACTATTTGTTGGCAACTTGCTCTATCTTTCCGTAAATACTAGTAACTCTGAAAATCTCGCCCATGTAGTACTCCGAATACTTTTGGGTATTAACTCTGAAAATCTCACCTAATGGGCCACTAGCAGCTGACAGTGACCGGTCATTAGAGTAATAGCCAACCGCGATTTGAGTTTGGACTCTGAATAATTGCATGCACCTTTTAGTGAAAGCACTGCTTTAGGGTGGTTGCCTGGTTGGTGATCATGTGATACTCTTCCTAAGATCATAGCCTCGTCAATTATAATTCTGTACTAATTGAATATATTTGAGCTGACTAAACATGTGCTGGTAACACATTATGTAGCTTATTTATGCCCTGACTTATATGAATCTACAACTTCATATATGCGGTTTTACATAGAATTGATATTATTCTTGAAGCTGATATATTTTTATATTTTTTAGTAAAATACAAGGGCAGTCCTTAAACTTGTACTTATTCTATAACATTAGTCCATATGCTTGATAGGAGCCATGTCTTTCTTTAATTAGTCTAATTTGTTCCGTGGAATTTTAATTTGTTTAATGTTGTTGATGGATATAGGAGGAAATGTCGGATCTTGAGTCTTTGCTGGAATACAATGAAATTGTTAGGAAGATGTTTGCTAATGAAGAAGAAGAATTTCAGTTCTATAACAACTACGGTTTTGAGAAATGATTTAGTGTGAGGAGAAGCTATTGTGAGTGGGACAATGGCCACAATGAGATGACCCTTCGGAAGTTCGTTTGTAGTCGTCAAGGTTTCCGTGAAGACAAGCAGCTGAAAAGGGCGATTAAGAAGCGGAAGCCGTGGAATATTACCATCATCTTTGCAAATTGACATGCTGCTATTTTGCACAGCTAAAAACTGATAGCTTAATTCGTAGTGCCTGCCTGATGTTCGGATATATGTAGAGATGTGCTTTGTAGTAGGCTGTGTTATGTCGTGGTGGCATGGTGAGGTAGTGGTTTCTCATTTGTTTGGAACTTTAGATCTGCAATTTTGGAGTGGTAGTTTGTGTTGTTTGTGTAGTGGAGATTTGCAGTAGAGGTTTCCTAAACTCTCAGTAGACTTTGTGGCTGCATTATCTTAAATTTGAAGTAAAATTTGAGCTGTGCAGACAGTTCAATACTTTGGTGCAATTGCTATGAATTCCTCTACTTGTATTGGTTGCTGTCTGGAAAAAAATACCCTGAACACTGATGGGCTCCATTTTGGTTGAGTTGTATCTGAAATCCTCATAATTATTATATGTTTACAGAAGTTTGAATTGCTTTTATTCTATTTTGGTTGAGTTGTGAGATTTATTTTATTTGATTAGAGCTTAACTCACCACCATAGATGATAAATGAGATGAATGCTTCTTTTTAAATTACTTGTTACATAGAGAACTTTGTAAGCTTGATTCATCATGCATATATTGAATTCCAAATTGATTCTTGTTGTCTGATGGCTTGCACGCACGCCATGTGCTTTAGATGTCACGCGTGCCAGCATCGTCCTGCTTAGTTCAATGTTTGAAAACTTGTTAGTACTTTTTACTACAAATTGTGCAACAGTTCAACAGTGACTGACCTTTCTCGGAAATTCTGCTTTTGGTGAAACACATGCAGCTTGCTGCTTTGCTTGTGAGAGCAACAAAAAGAAGATCGTGCACCCCACCTACGACGACTTCCTTGGTTGCCGGGATTTCGAAGAGGACGAGGTGGATTTGTCTGGCAGTAATTTCCCTAAGCCCGTGGGCGTGGACTACATCTTCTTTGATGCTGACAGGGACTGTGATGTTGCAAAGTACTTGGACGATCGGGTTGGCTGCGACGGCGTATACAGGTCCTCCTGATGCTCAGGGCTTTGGGGCCTCGTGGATAGTGTTGAGTGTGATCGCTTGGTCAGTGAGAGTGGCTGACATTATTACTGACAAATTGTAGGGGGTGCTCGGTTGTGCTAAAGGCATTTCACTGTGCTAGTAGTGCAACCGCGTGCAGGTTTAGCATAAGCAAACAAGACCGTCACTTATGTCGTGCAGAGAAAGAAAAGTACACATTTGCATGTTATTATTTTTATTTTTCTTGAATTAAGACAATTCGCATGGACAAATGTAACAGCTTGGTTGGAGAAACATGGATCCGGCTACATGATCTTTTCAAGTATTTCTCATTTTCTTAAATCAAATCAACATAACTTGGTTGTATGTGCGTCTGTGTGCTACTAGTAGCACTGGATTTCCCAGCGCATGAAGCACTGTACCTCCGCAAGGACAGTGGCAGATTACCAGCTTCTGTCAGTCTAATTTCGCTCTGCATTGTATTACCATTCTGTATACTGGCAACCAACTCGTAGATGTGAAGCTGGTGAAAGATTAGGCATAGGACACAGTACTGTCGTGTCTTGTGGAATGGTGATGCTGGATTTGAAGTGAAAGATGGACGTGCCTCTGCGAAAAGATGGACGTGCCTGTGCAAAAATCCAATCCACTTCACTTGGCCGTGGATCAGCATCAGGCCAAAGCAGCTCGTTTCAAAAAAAAAACATAGAGAAGGGGCGAGAAAAGGATAATTACAAGCAGACATCAACTAGAACTGAAGGTATACACGGCTAAAACTTTCAGAGAAGAAATTTTTCTGACCGCATGTGCTTGATCTGAAAATGTCACTCATCGTCATTCTGCCAGCTACAGAGCAACACATAACCATGACAGAATAGCACCAAGCTATAGCATTGCACAGCTCATTAGCTTCCTCAAGATTGCAACACACGCAGAGTTCTAACACACGCATCTTAAATTAATATATAATCAAACTTCCAACCTAACTTAAAAAAAAAGATGTAACACACTGAGTCTAACTTCGAACCAAAACATAATGCAACCTAAAAAGACGAAGCGCAGAGGGACTGTCACCTTGTTCTTCCTCCGAGTATGGACAGCAC